ACGGCGAAAAGACGTGCCTCTGCCTCCCTTGTGGAGCGCACGCCTGCCAATTGCCATAGCACGCCCCCTCGTACACGCCGTGCAGGAGTTACTCCCTGGTCTGTAGAAACGGCGAAGGTTCGGTGTGCAGTCCTGCTCCTAACCTCGACGTACAGCCGTACAGGCAGGGTTGGGCGTCCGTGCAGTTCCTTTCTTTTGCTCTCCGTCTCTTCAACTGCTCGTGCTTCCTTTTTCTCCCGTAGGCCATACACGAAAGAAAAAGGCCGTACGCCCCGCCCCCAAAATGAATGCGGCGCTCCTGTCCTGTCCATGTCCGGTATTTCCATCCGCACAGAAGAGACAGACGAGATACTCCTGTACATGCTGATGTTAAAAGGAAAGGAAAGAAAAAGGCGCAGCGGGCGGGCCACCCGTCCATGCGGCTGTGTCCGGCGCCGGCCGTGGATCGCCGCGACAGCCCAACAGGAGCGCGGCCTGCTCGGCTCGGGCTCAGGCTCGGGCCTCCCTCCGGAGCCCTGCCCTGCGCCCCAACAAAATCGCAGCTGCAACCGTGCGCTTCAGCTGTGCCGCTGGGGAACGCAACTATGCAAGCAGTTCTGATGTTTTTTTCGGCCTCGTGGCCTCCGCTCCGTGCAGCAGCGAAAGCATATCAGGCAAGATTAGAGGCCCAACAGAATTTGGGATGGGCCGACCGGGCATCGGATGTGCCCCCAGTTCTGTTGGTGGTCAATAGGCCCATCAATAACGTCCGAGCAGTGTCGCCGCCACGGCCCACGTATAACACGCAAGAGAGCGATCTTGCGCCGGTCCGCGCCTCCGCGGGTACCACACACAGCTTGGCCAATGGCGAGTCGCGCGGCGCGGACGACGGCCAACTCAAGTCGGGCCGCCTTCTCCGTCGACGAATGCGGTGCGCCGGACCGGCGCAAGCTCGCTCTCTTGCGTTGAAACTTGAGAGAGCGTGACCCCGACCCCGGCGGCGCGAGCACGATGGTGATTGGTGACTGGTTGGCGGTTTCTGCAGGCTGCAGCTGCAAGTTGCAGGACCCCGCGCGCTAGCTCCCAAGCAAATCACACGGCTAGTCGGCCAGACAGGGACGTCGTGCTCGTACGCGCGCCCCTTCTGACTTCTGCCGGCAGAACTAGGATTGTACTGTAGACGACATGCCTGGCTTGCCCTCTTTTTCTTCTTGCCTGTATTTTTCTCCCAAGTTCAAAGAAATGTACTGTAAACGACATGCCTGGCAAATTTTTTTCTTCTTGCCTGTTTTTTGAACCTTGGAGAAAAAGGTTCAAAGAAGAATGTAGAGGGCAAACGAAATTGCATTGCTTTTTGTCTCATTAGAGACAAAAAGATCCTCTTCATTGCTAAATCTGTATATCAATCCAAAATTTTATCCTAAGGTTCGGTGTCCTTTCAGTTTGAACACGAGCTGGATTTGAGATGTAGACATCACTGAGGACTGGTTTTCTTAAAAAATTCCTCCCAAACTTCACACATCGAATCTTTGAACCTTGGGAGTATTAAATATACGAAAAAATTGCATTGGTTTTTTGTCTCGAGATAAATGAGACTAAAAAGATCCTCACATCGCTAAATCTGGTATATATATCCAAAATTTTATCCTACTGTGAACTTCGGTGTTCCTTTCAGTTTGAACACGAGCTGGATTGCTGGAGTGTAGACAGCACTAAACCGTTGGCAATGAACTATACTCTGTAGCGCGGCCAATGCCCTCTGGCGCATTCGTTCCTGTCGACCAGCTTAGCCATGCCCGCTGCCCACTCTGCCTTGAGGAAGTCAACGATCCAGACTTCCAGAGAAGCGCGTGCTAGCTTCCTCACGAATTGTCCCATGCAGAATTATAAGGCAGATTCTATTCCATCAGTCGCTCATGTGAGCGTATTATTCGCCGCCGCGGAGCAAGGCCTGCTTGCTGCCAGACGCACGTCAACCCCCGTGACGCGCTGCTAACCAAGTGGAAATCCACATGGAACGATGCACCTAGGCCAGGTAGAACTAATCGTAATCCGGCCGTTTCCGCGCCCCCTCTTGCTTGTTTGTTTGCGCAGAGCGCAGCCCCTCCATTTCTTTACACTATCACCGTCCGGCTACGCAAGTTGGCCGCCGTGCCACCGTCGATGGTCAACCCTGCGACTCATTATCTGGCTCTGCGTGGAGGAACGTTCATGGGTCACAAAATTATTTATTTATTTCCCCTCAGGTAACAAAATATTTCATCTCATCATTATGGCTCATATCATATAGGGAGAATTGTCCGTTGGACATGCAAAGTGATGGTCATTCGCTTGGGGACACCCTGTTTTGAATAGTTTACCAGAAGACACTCTGGTTTGGTGAAATTAGGTCACAGGACACCGTGGACCGGTTGCAGCCGGTTGAGGAGAGAGAAAATTTCGTTTTGGACATCCGGTGCCCCTAAGCCACAGTTGGGTCCGCCCCTCTCCCTCTCACTGACGCGCGGGCCCCACCTGTCATCATCTTCTTCCTCCTCTTCTCTTCTTCCATTGCTGAGCAGCAGCCACCGTCGTCGACCAACCCCGACCACGTAGGGGCACGGACGAGCTGGCGAGCTGCCGCAGCCATGACCATCGCGGGCTTCGCGGGCGGTAGCCGGCACGCTGCGTGACCACAGCGCCGTCGTGCGGCAGCAGCCCTCGTTACTATTGCCGGCGATAGGAGCGCCTTGGTGTCCGCGCCACGCCTTGTGGCCGACCCTACCGCCGCCACCCGGCGGTAGCTCTGCTCGCCTCCCCACGGCCCCTTCCGCGCCGCCGCCGCCCCGCCATCGCTGCGAGCCATTTTGCGTGCTGCTGGGGACCTGCTCGGCGCCGCCACCATGCCGTGGCCCGTGGCCCAGCCAGCCACGCGTCACCCCTCGCCCGCGCGCCGCCGTCGCGCATCACGCCGTCGCGGCCCACCGAGAGAGAGAGAGAGAGAGAGAGAGAGAGAGAGAGAGCAGGGGAGGGAGCACGCACATGCCGCCCTACAGGGCATGACTGCCGGAGCGTGGCTCATCGGCGTAGGGTGGGGGCGTGGTCGCTGAGCACGCAGGGCCGCGACGCTCCACTGGAGGCACGAGGCAGGATTGCGGGCGCTAGGGCGTCGACGTCAAAGGCGCGGCGCCGGAGCAGGCGACGACGTGATGCACGACGGCGGGTGTGGGAGGCGGAGAGGGTGGCGGGGACAGGAAACAGAAAAAAAGAGAAAGGGAGAGAGGAAGAAGGAAGCGGCGGGGGCAAGAATGTCATTTCACCGCTGTTCTCTCTCCTCAACCGGCTGCAACCGGTCCGCGGTGTCCTGTGGCCTAATTTCACCAAACCAGAGTGTCTTTCTGGCAAAATGCTAAAAAGTGGATGTCCGCCGATAAATGACCATCACTTTGCATGTCCGACGGACAATTCTCCCTATCATATACTACTACTTCTACTGGTTCTCAAAAGCAAATATACTACTTGTGATGCTGGTGAAGAAAAGGGTTTCGGTTAACCAAACACGGTGTTGCTCGCCTGATGGTGGCTTGCCATGACGGTACACTACACTTAAGTTAATTGGTTTGGTGTCTGCAAATTTGGTGATGTGTGGGTTACATAAACCTACCTCATGATGTTGACTTAGGGCCTTGTAATGCAGCCAATGTGGTAAGCAAGTGGAGGATCCCCTGCAGGGCCCCGCTTGATCTTATCATCGTCACCGTCCACGCGTAATTTAAAAGCCAAGCACACAAACATTTGTGTCAAGGACGTCAAATCAAGCAGCAACAGAATAAAGGTTCCTCCATGAATCGTGCTTATGTCAGCATGACGGAAACGTGTCAATCAGCCCTGTCATTTTTTTTTTTTTGCCTGCAAAATAAAAAAAAAGTTTTTGCTTCATAAAAGTAGCAAGCACCTATTGTGGTATGTCCAACAATTTTGGGGAATGCTTACTTCGCCGCGTGCGTTAGGGCTATGGATAGCATAGTGCCACGGCACCGTTGTACGTTGTAAACATCCACTCTATGTTGATCTCCGATAAAATTGTAGCCAGACGCACCTGTGTTTCCCTGCATCATCAGCCTGTTTGTTTCGGTTGGATTGGCTTATAAGCCATGGCTGAAAATACTGCTGGTTGATTTGGTATGAGAGAAAAATACTGTTCAAGCCATGGATTATAAGCCAGATACGAGCAATCCAGCTGAAACGAACAGGCTGATACTCTTGACCATGTCGCTTTGATTCCCTTGCTGACAACAGATCTGCTGTCATGTTGACCGAGAGCCAAGATGGTTAGCAGCCGAGACTAGCGTTCGATCTTCCTCCTAGTCCCTCTCTTGACCCATGGACCATGGTGTTGTGGTGCTTGGTTAGAACTTTAGGGCCTGGGTTGGGTGGCACTAAGGGGCCAGGCCGCATAGAGGGATAGTCGTGCGTGGTGGTGGTAAGCATCTGTCTTAATTTGTACAAGGATAGGGTACAGGAAGCGATGCCATATTGTGAACCACACGGCAGGTGGCGATGGCGGCATGTCGCCGCCGGCCCGGGGGTGGCGGTGGAGCTGCACATTGTTGTAAATGCCGAAGGGCTTACACAGCTACACCAAAAAGACAGGCGTTAGCAAAGTTACCCAGTTTACTTAAATATCCTGTCTTAAATGCTTAATCAATGTTACAACAAGCGTGATGAGATAGTGTCAACAATCAGGAACGGAAGGATGACGAAATGGCAATGGCAATGTTGCACTAGTTGACATGTCATCCGACGACATCTGGTGCACCAACAAGCACGGATCCACCAAGCATACGAACACGAGGACAATGCGCACAGGGACACGCGAGATTGATGCAAGAACTAATCAGCAAAAACGAAGCGAAGTCTCTCCTCTATGGCTGTACATTGCATGCACACGACACGACTGAATCAATCATCAATGAAGCGAGCAAGTGCGGGAACGGGTTAATCGATCGATGAGCGGCACGAACCAGGGGCCGCCGCCGCCGTCAGGGGTCTAGGTGGATCGGCAGCACCGTGCTCCGCGAGCTCCGGCCGAGCCCGAACGACGACAGGAGCCGCCGGAACCGGCCGCTCGTCTCGCCAGCGCCGCGGTCAGCGACGTTATTGCTGCTGCTACTGCCGGCGCTGGCGTCAAGGCTCGGGCCGGCCTCCTCCGAGCTGCCAGCAGTAGAAGGCTCCTTGGTCTGCGGCTTCCGGCCGAGGCCGCCCGCGAAGCAGTCCATGGAGAAGGAGCGCGTGATGGGCTCCTGCGCGGCGGCGCCGGTCTTGGTCGGGAACCTGCAGGAGCTCCCGTACCCGACCCTCCCCGTGGCGTCGATGCGCCGCGTATCGCCGCCGAGCGGCTGCAAGTCGCGGCAGGACGCGCCGTGGTCGTCGCGCGCGAGCGGGATGACGGCGCCGCCGGTGACGACGGTGCGGCAGAGCGGGCAGCTGACGTTGTGGTGGAGCCAGGTATCGATGCAGTCGATGTGGAAGGCGTGAGAGCAGGCGGGCAGCTGCTTGAGCCGCTCCCCGGGCGCGAACTCGCCCAGGCACACGGCGCACTCGGATGCGGAGTCGTCCCTCACCCGGCGGCGGTAGTACCTGACGACGGGGAGCGCGGCGACGACGTCCGGGTCGAGCCCGCCCGGGAGCTCGGCGGCCTCTTGGTCTGTGAAGAAGACCGCGGAGACTCGCTCCACCAGGTGGTGGTCGTCGCGGCGCGCGCGGTGGAACAGCAGGCCCGACCCGCCGGCGGGCCCCCGCCGCGGAGCCAGCAGCGGACGACGAGGAAGTAGTAGCTGATGAGGATGAGAGAGGTGACCATGAACCCGATTGCGATGACGATGGCGATCGGGAACGACGCCGTGCCCTGCCCGCCGTACGGCGGCGGGGACGACGCGTCCGGCGGCGGTATGGGCGCGCCTGCCGCGTCCATCGCTGCAGACGTGCGCGCGCCTCGCCTGGACAAAGTCAATGCCTGCGCGAGGACAGATCAGCCTCGGGCGGCTAACAGACCGGCCCGAGCAAGAAATAGGCGCACGACGCAGCTAGCGAGTGATCCAAGGAAGCGAGCCCGCGAGACGAAGAGCGCCGCAGCCTGCTGCAGGTGGAGGAGAGGTGCGGGCTGGGGCCTGGGCCGCTGGGGTGTACTAGCCGGTGGCCGGGCGCTGGTGCGCGCGGCCGCGTCGTTTAATAGAAAACTGCGGCTCGCCAACTCGCGAAAGAGATGATTGCTGTGCCTGCCGGTACGCACGCGAGGCCGAGGCCGTGGTGCAGGGCCAAGTTTGAAACGCCTATTTATTTGGATGAAGTTTATTTTTAGCACCTCAACTGTTGTGTTGATATCATTTTAACCATCAACTATAAAACCGTTTAGTACCAGTATTCCAACGGTCAAAACCGTTCATTTTTAGCATCTGGACGGGGCAAGACTGTTTTAACCGACGTTGAGCGATTTTGACCACGCCATGCGCCCACGCTGGCATTGACCACCTCGTAGGACACTGGGCTGCATCTCAGCGACATGTGGGGCCCGTGCGTCACCCACTTATTCCCTCCCTCTCCTTCCTCCGGCTCTAGCAGCATTCGGACAAGCAAGCTCGGCCCCATTGCGGGCGCGGGAGGTCCGCCCCAGCGACAGACGAGGCGGACCGAGCTAGGGGACGGCGGCGGATGGGGTGACCGGGCCACCGAGGCCATAGGCGCCGACGGGGACGAGCTAGTGAGGCATAGCTCCAGTCGAGCCATCGTCGGGCTCGCTCGCGTTAGCGTGCTGCTCGCTTCCCCGACGGGCGAAAGCGGCTACACCATGGCCGGCGGCGCAATTGTCTGACTCTGCTGCCAGCGGGCGAAAGCACGCCCCATTTGCTTGCGCTGACGCGCCGCTATCGCGCGGGCTCGCCGGCCCCGACAACTCCCATGCCTCGATGCTCGGCGGTGAAGGCACCACGACCTCGTCGGGCTCACGAGCGGGGGCCACCGGACGAAGAAAGCGGCGGCGCGCGCCATGGTCGGGCGAAGCGCGCACGATTGATTGAGACGCTTCGGTCGCTATTGGGCAAGTGTGAGCAAAAGCTGCCGCGCCGGGCCACCGAAAGCGGTACCAAAAGGCTCGCGCATGGGGGCTGATGTGGCGTCACCGGGATGCGTCTGCCGAGACGCGGTACGGTGGGCACGTCGCCGCCGACCACAGGCTCATGGCTACTCGGTGCTCGCAGGCCGCCAGCAAGCTAAACGAGCGCCACTGCCGCTTCCGCCAAGCCCACGCAAGTGGCGCGCCCTGTCACCGGCTCGCTGCGCCGCAACAGCACCACGACCACGGCATCGCTGCCACCGCGCCCTCCTACGCAAGTGGTCGGGACACCGCCGTGTTCCCCACCGAGCCCCCTCCCTACCACACCCAGCGACGCCTCTCCTCGGCTCCTTCCCGCTGCTGTGGCATATCTCCACCACAGCCATGGTCGTCAGGTCGCCGGTGCACGTGGCCATCAAAGTAGCAGACCATGGCCCGCCTCCCGCCGAGCCCTCTTCCTCACGCACCCGACGTGCTTCTCCTCGCCTCCTCCCCGCCACTGTGGCATCTCTCCACCATGGCCATGTCCGCCAGGTCGCCAGCGCGCGTGGCCAGCAGACCACAACCCGCTTCCCGCCGAGCCCTCTTCATCCCAAACCCGGCGCACCTCTCCTCGGCTCCTCTCCGCTGCCGTGGTTGTGGTCGCCGGGCCGCCGGCGCATGTGGCTAGCAACCCATGACCCGCCTCCCACCGAGTCGTAGCCGGCCTCGGGATTCTTGCGTGGGCTAACTTGCTTGCTGGCCGGCCTCCTCCTCCCACTGTTGTGTGGGCACGGAGGCCATGTAGGGTGTAGCTCCGACAGCTACAACAGGCAAGGGTCGGCGTCGAGATTTCTCCGGCAAGGCACTGCAGCAGTTAGGAGGCGGCGTCGGGATTTCACCCATGGGTTGTGGCACTGCCGTGGTGGCGGCGTAGGTGCGGCGCTGCCGTGGGGGACGGCGCCGGTGATGCTTGGGCCAGAGGCGGCGTGGGGCGCTACCGTGATGATGGAGAGGGAGGGGATGGGTGGTTGACGCGTGTGCCCCACATGTCCCTAGATGGAGGCCAACGTCCTACGTGGCGGTCAACACCAGCGTGCGCGTGGTCAAACCCGCTCCACGTTGGACAAAACAGCCCTAGCCGCGTCCAGGTGCTAAAAGTAAACTGTTTTGACAATTGAGTTACCAGCATTAGATGATTTTATAGTTGATGATCAAAATTAGACGAACCCAATTATTGAGTGGCCAAAAATGAAGTTAATCCTTTTATTTTATACGTGCGTGCGGGACTGCGGGTGGCGTGGAAGTGGAAACCGCAGCGAGCGACGACGGCGACGGTTCAGCGGCAGTGCGGACGCGCGGGTCCCTGTCCCTGGTGGGGACTGGTGATGGCTTCCCCTTCCGTAGATGCCTAGGATCCTCGCCCCAGTCGGCTGCGCCAGTGCGGAACGTCTGCGACTCTCCGGCGGCCCGGCAGCCGCCACCGGATCCAACGCAAGGCAGGCAACGGACTAGCGGAGCCGCCGCCGGCAGCAGCTGTCCCTGTACGCTGTCTGCAGCATCCAAACTGATCACAACACGCACGCGTTAGAAATCTGGCGTAGCCACGTCACAAACATTTGACTAATTCCGGAGCGCACACGCACTTGCCCGGAGTGCCCAACTTGGGCTTAGAACAGTCCACCCCATGCCGTCACCCGAAGAGATCAATAATGCAAGTGACCGTGATGATGGGTTTGTTTCCAGCAGCGCCATTTTCTATCGTTACGTTCCGTCGGCTGCCGCCTAACTCGCGTTGCCTAATCGAAGTGGTTCAAGTGGATGGACACTGGACACGAGCCGTATGAGCTGGAAATGGTTTTTATCTTCGCCGAACTAACGCTTTGCGTGTATGCCCTGTTTGTTTATCCACATGTTTCCGTTGTGTTTCATGGAAGCCTTTTAGAAAAATGCAGTAAAAGGAGTGGTTCTGACTGCCCTGTTCAGACTAATCTGATTATGTTGCTTGGATCTATTTGTCATTTTTAATTGTCCAGAGTCAACTCCGGTTTGCATAGATACGTACCTAGCTAGTACGTATCATTGTAAGCACAAATCAAATTGCCTGATGCTGCTTGCTTTAGTTCTTCTCGCTCCCATGCTGACGACTCAAAGATACGTACCATGATTTCGTTTCGGAAATAACTGGTTGGAAAGAACGTACACCTGCTTAATACCATTCGCAGCGTTGTGTTTAAGAGGAAATGATTCATTCTAAAAAAGGAACATAAAGAAGGCTTCCTCTCACCAAAAAAAAAAAAGGACGCTAATCTAGGCCCTTTTCAGGAAGTTAAATGGGTTCTTGGAGCCTAGCTAGTTTTTTTTTTTTAGCACACTTGGAGCCTAGCTAGTTGGCCATTCAGGGCCATGTGGTGGGCTCACGCTTTCTGGCCCAAAACTGAGCTGCAACTCATTTTTTTCTACTTAATTCTACTTTCAGATATGGCTATATAGTAGGAGTAAAATACCGGGTCAATTGGTGTCTGAACAGAAGTGAAGTTCAGAGGTATATCACGCTCCTTGGCATATATTCACATGTCACACCCAGGGCCGGAGCCATAACAACCAAATCAACATGTTAATTTGTGCTACGATACAAAAGATAGCTAAAAACTAAAAAATAAAGGGAATGGAACTAATTAGCCTCAGGTCTCTAACCTACTCCCGATGAATCTAATTATTTGGCCAGAAAAAGAATCACAGTTTATAACAGGAAGTAGTTAAATAGGGGCAAAATTAATTAACCCTAGATTCTAAATGTTTTTTTTTAGAAAAACTGGAGGGGTTTGCACCCCTACAGCATATTTATTAAATAACACATATAGTGCAGAACATACTGAGAGCCGGGAGGGAGGGAAAGTTAAGCTACAAAAAAAGGAAATGAGAAAAAGCAAAGCTACCACCGAAAGGTGGTTCGCAAAACAAATAGTGTGTGCCTGTCTAAAAGTTTATATCTCCGCCAGCCACTCCGCAAGCCTCGCCGGAGCGTGGTCCGCGGCGTCCGACATAAGTCGGGCGGGCGAGGGACGTGTTCCCCGGCTTTTCCCCGCAGCCCCTTTCTCCTTCCTCGGTGTTCTGACGGCCCCCGCAGCCTTCCTCTCCTCTCCTCGGTGTTGGGCAGGAGTGCGCTGGCTTTAAGCTACAGGAAGGTCTCCAAAAAAAGAAAGCAAAAGCACAAAGCTACCACCGGAAAGGCGGCTGGCCAAGCTAAGTTAAATCTGCAATCCATTGAGTAATTCCTGGATGGTAGCTTCTTTTTGTTCGCAGCAGTAAAAGCTGGAACTCATCTCTGAAGTTTTGCTTTGATATTTGAAGATTCTGATCAATCTGTCGGATGATCTTGTCATTTCCTGCCTTCCAGGTGGTCCAACACATTAATATGATGACCTCCATGAAGAACGGCACCCGCAGTTGCTCTTTGAATCCCAGAAGGTTCTGAAAGGGATCAGAGTTGTGATCAACCTGAATGTTAAGCCAAGCCCAGCATTGTGTGGCAAAAGGACAGCCAAGAAAAAGGTGTAAGAGTGAGTCTTCAGTTGAACCATTGCAAAGAATGCAGTTGTAGTCTTGGAGATCCATATTCTTTCTTCTTAATGTTTCCCTAGTACTCAGCCTATCCTTTATAAGAAGCCAAAAGAACACTTTATGCTTATTTTGGCAAGAACTTTTCCAGAGCAAATTGTAAACTGGGTGTAATATCAATGTTAAATGACAAATAGTCAGTCACTTGTTGTTTAGACATTATTAGGACAAAATGGCCGTTTAAACAGGTTTAATGGACGATTAAATGAAAATGGCGTACCATCGTGTAGCATTTAAGCGTTGAGTACGTGAGTTAAATGATC